TTATTGTGATAGTATTATTTTCACGGTTATCGCAGCACGAAATTATAAAAACTGATATCGTAAGATTGGATATACGCGTTTCTACTCTTTACGTGATTGTAAGTAGTACAGGCGGATATTAAAGGTAAACAATGAATGTTACTAATAATTTTGCGTTCGTTTTACAAAACATTTGGTTGTTAAAAGATTAAAAATTACATTAATAGTGGCCAGCGATTATTGTCTTTAGAATCAGGTGATTCGTCGATTTTTCTTTTTTGACATTGTGTAATTACACCGCGTCATTATTTCAGTATACAATTCTACTCACATATTTGACAAYGAAGAGTTTTTTTTATCTTGATATAATTTCCACTCTAGATAAGTTATTCTCAACCTGGAGGAAATTTCTAAAAAATCATATTTTTCAAACATTTCTAAGTGATGACATAATATTATTTCTATAGAATAACAGAATATTATTGGTAATATTTATTGACAAATAAACATAATATTATTTGATTTTGGTCTTTATTACATTGTATTTTATCTTTGTTTGATAATTATTTCATTACAAATATCAAAATATACGTATAAAATGTTGAGTTTCAATATACATTTATTTTTTTTGTATTTTTAACAATATAGGTATTACGTAATATATTTATAAATAATGTTATTTCACCTCAGGAAAACCTAGTGGACAATAAAAACACGATTTTAAACGTACCAGCGTGTTGTTTTTTGTTTTTCTATTAGTTTTTCGTAGTAACTTATTCTGGATAGCTTCTAAATATCTATACAGTTATTATAACAACGAGTAAATGGGTTTCATGACATAACTTGGCATTATGTTCCACTTCTTCAGCAATTTTGTTTTCTTTCGATTCTACGGTAAGATAAACGATTTAACATTTATTTTTTTATCGATACCAACTATAATGTTGGGATAMTTTCAACTATTGTTTTTTCTTAGACTTAGTAGGAGAATAAAAAAAGTTGTGTAAGTAAGAAACGTACGGGAACGATAGTATAAGCGAGCATATTGGTGTGTATACACATACGTATTAAACTGTTTATTTTTTTTGTTATTGTGTTTCCGAGAATATTTTCTGATGTAAAGATATTTTAAAAGTTATAAAGCTCCAATATCCATTGGAAGGTGAATACTGAAAATGGTTTCTTCCAATAACCAGAAACTTGATGTGACATATTGTTATTATTATTGAAACTGCTAATTAAAATACTAAATTTTGCAGAATCACGAGCTAAGGAAATAAGAAACTACTATTGTGATAATATGTTAAGAGTCTTGTATTAAATTTTCAAGCTTTTCTACYCAACAAATAAATTTTTATCGATATTAATTTTTAAAAAACTAATAATTATCGAAAATTACATATGCCTATAAATAGTTCAACTTAAAAACTAAATTTTTTGAAAATTTCATGGTGGATATAAAATACTTATATCAACATTCGGTGAAAATTTCATGTATACTCGTATATGGTCATTTTTTTTAAAAGTTACATCAAAAACCAAAATCGATTTTGTCGAAAATTAATTGTGTGTAAAAATTCCAGTTTTTTCCTTAATTTTTAATTTGCTTATCTCAATTTTGAAGAAAAATATTGGTAATTTTTTTACTTTTGACCCCCCAAAGTACCAACTAGATTCACTTTCTGATGAAACGAGGTACTGATGTATAAAATCCAAGCACTTTTACTGCCCCAAAACGTGATAACAGACACACACACACACACAMAAAAAAACTCATCATTGTAAAATCAATWCAAAATGATAAAATTTTCAATTGAAATTAGTATTCGATATTATGACTACCTACTCATTGTTGTGCGTTGAATTTGACCATTGCGTAAAAAGTAATTCCAAATGATATATTATTAAAATTGAATGATTTTTAAGTACGTAATAAAATCTAACTTACTTTAGTGTTTTACGATTGTAGACTGTAAATATAAGATTATTTATGATTTAGTACAAGTACTTGGTAGGTATTCTAAAAGTCTTAAAATKGTGAGCAAGTGTATATCGTTATTTTCTATAATACCTAGGTGTCAAATAGGTCACTATAATGGATATGTTAAATTTAAATTTTATGATGTAGGCGTCATTGTATATGATAAAAGATTCTGAGCGAATTTTGTGTGTCGGCCTAAGTTATTTTATATTATATTTATACTAACATTAATAATATAATAGGTAGATTGAATTTTGAAAAAAACATTGCATTTGCATACATATTATTTTAAAAGTATACATTCATATTTACTTTAATAGATCTCGAAAAATTGTTACAAAATATCATATTTTCGTCATCCATAAATAATATATAAATGTTAAATTAGTCAGTTTACTATATCTATAAAAGTCGGGTTTAAATGGCAATTTAAAGTTGAAGCATTATTGCATTCATAATTGCTGTTATAAAATTAAAATATTTTAACGATTGTTTTTCCWAAATGTATTCAAATCATAAGCGTGATAATACTACTCAAATTTGATAATTTTCATTTCTATAGTTTGGTAAAGTTTATTGTCCCTGCGAGACATGCATTTAAAATGAAACCAAATAAATTTTTTAATAGTCAGTTATATAATTATCGTTATCAGTATAATATGGTTATCAGGCATTCTAAAATCAATGAAAAAAACCATTAAATAGTTTAAAATAAAACTAATTGTTTTCTATAATAAAATTAAACAATTTGCATATGTTCAATATACATGAACAAATGTATGTATTTATATATTAATGTATTAAAATAATGCATAAACGACCTTTAAAATATATTATTAATGCTGTGTTATTAAAACACAATCTTTTTTTGTTAGGTATTATTATATTTTGTGTAAGAATTACAGTGTTTTGTTGACTTCAAAATGTATTTTCTTTTCTTTTTTCTTATTTTCTTTAAAACTAACCTATTTATAGAAGTGTAGTGATATTATATGCCTTGATACATTTGACAGTTCAAACAATAAATTTTGTGTACAAATAATAAAACGCGATAAAAAAATATTTGCATTCGTTTGGATTTACATAGGAGAAAATGAAGGAGCCTATTGGTTTATCATGTTGAAGCATGTTTTTTGGTTGGAAAAAAGTTTGTGAAAATTCTAGTTAAATAAAGGTAGAAAAGAAACAAGTTTACGTACAATTATTTCACGATAGAGCCACGCTATCGTTAACGTATTTTGGATTGTTTATTAAAACTATAAACATCATAAAGACACCTGATGTAAAGAACCGCTTATGGCTTCGAAGAAGGCACTTTTTAGGATAAACAAATAATTATAGTTCATTTGTATGATTGTAAATAGCTGTCTTTATTAGTGGGTCTAGACTTGAGACAAAACTCAACCGATATTTAAAGGAGTAATTCAATTTTTAGTGGAAAATCAACGTGGGATGGGGGGGCGAAGGGTTGATTGAAATTTGTTTTTCAAATATCGTGACTTCAATATTAAACACATAATCAATCTCTATTATTAATAATATTAAATATTTTATCTGTTATTTAAAAATATACAAACKCTGCCGTGTAGGCTTATAAAAATGTAATTATTCCTACAGTAAGGAACCTTAAGGTTTACTTTATGTATTTTATGTTAGTAGATACTTCTATATCAAATCAAATCCAAAATAATAATTTTAGAAATTTAAATTAGGTTTAGTATAATATAAATCGTGTTGGTAGACGTTGGATATTCAAAACTTGATATTCTTTAAACGAATTTAGTGTATGTGGAAGGTATGGAATTATTATAACCTATAATAGCTTTAAAAAAAGTACTACAATCGTAATGACATTATTGTAATGAAATACCCTAGACTCTAGATTTTTTTAAATGTTGTCATTATTATCATCTTWATATCTTAAGACCTATGTCTTTGAATTTTTACTGGAATTCGTAAAAATTGTAAACCCATTATTTGTGTTATTTAAGCTCGAGTTGACGTTAAACAACAGCTCTTGATCCTCATTTATTGAGTTTCACACATATCTAATATAGTGTGTGCTTCGTTATCGTGTGAATATCCATGCTTATTGTATATAGTATGTACACGAAAAGAATGCTACTCGACGTTGTATCATAAATAGGTGAAATGAACGATTTTAACTAAGTATATTACATAATATACTGYCGTAATCATATTATAGCGTTTATTTTTATTGTTTTTGAATACCACCACATACATAATTATGTGTCTAAAACGATATGTGATCAGTATAAATAAATCACGTACTGCACTGTATAATATGCGTGAATAAATTGATGGAACCATTTATATAAACGTTACAATCATCGCGATTATTTTACCTTATGTGTATACATTTTTTTTTATCATGTATCGTYTTTATTCTTAGTACCTTTTACTATAAATATATTCAAATCTTAACTTTTACACTCATACACGAACATTTATACTATAATATAATAATAATAATATGTTCATATATGTATCATACTATCTTGCAGTCGATCTCAAGCTCATTAATAATATTATGTTCTGTTTGGCGATAAAAAACAAAACATTTATTATGAATACGCGCCGATTTGCTTGGAGAATATCCATAATAGCTTTTTTATTGAGACGGATATTACAAATTTTGTGACAGTATAATGTTGTTGTACCCTCAGTATTTTTTTATGAAAAATTCGATCTTGTCATCATGTTTTTCACGTTTAAAATTATAATATACCACACATAATAATGAATATTTAGTCTAGTATTTTTATATGCATAGAGAATCTTAATAGTTGAAAAAATATCCTTATGAAGTATGAATAGCACTTTTAAGTTCCAAATAGTAGAATTTGAATAACTGTATTATTTTAGAAAAAGCTGTGGGAGGGCATGCTCGGTGCTCTGTAAATGTGCTTGATATTTTTGCTGACATTGTTTGCTACCAGCTAGTTTTTATGGAGATGATATAAGTATGTTCATTGATATTTTTATAATTTTTTTTTTTTACTCTGTTTTCTGATTACAGGGTAATAAAGTAGCATTAAAAACGCTTAAGAGATCGCGCTTGGAGTTGACGCGTCCTCGGTTACTGGAATTGAAAAGGGTATGTAAAAAACTTAATTTGACACTCAAGTGTGTGTGAATGTGTATTTCAGCCATATATAACACATATTATGTATGGATATTTGAATGTTTGATGTTTATATACGCATGAAGTGATCTTCATGGTGTATAATTAATTTTAATATCCTGTACTCATGTGGGTATGTTTTTAATACAGCATTTTGCTAATGAAATGGGTATGTTCTTAGTGTTGATTCATCTCATATTTTCATCCGTGACTTTAATTATACTCTATATTATGTGTATATAAATGTCTATATTGTGAATAATAAMATATTGACAATATTAAATAAAATAATAAATAAATAATTTGCAAAAGTTCAAAAATATATGAATAATATTAAAATATATACGAGTATGTACATGGTGATTCATTTAACGTAAAACACTTATTATTTCAAAAAGTTTTAACTTTTTAATTTTTAATTTATTTTTGGAAATATTGAAATTAAATGAAATCTACATATATTTGATATTCTTAAAATTTCCACATGTTTTGTTATATGATAAATATGAATCAGCTTAGGATTTTTAAATGGTAACTCCTATATTTAATATCAAAAAATTATAAAACTATTTTTTTTAAAGAACTTTTGTGTTTGAATTTTTGGTTTCGATTCAATACATTTTGAGATATAGGCAATTCGAAATACGATATTATATTAAAAGCTTTTTGTGTTTGTTTACACTTGTCCTTATTAATTTTTGGTCAATCATTCAAATCAATAATCTTTGTATCAGACTAATCATGACGGCTTGTRAACACTTATTCCATTACACACATATGTGTTAGATAATAATGACATAGGATATATCTCTTATCATCTTATCTTATCATCTATTATTAGTATGAAAATAAATATTTATTTTAAATATCTACTATGGTTATCTATTAACTTGGGCAAAATATGTAGCTTCTGGTCTTTACAAATGAAAAATACAATAGCAACTACAAAAAAAAACCTAACTTTGATGGGCTGTTTTAACGGATTGTTCAAAAATTAAAATTCTAATATTGAAATTCATAAAAAAATAAATAGTTTTTGTATAGGTTGCCATTTAATAATCAAAAGTTGATAGCGATTTCACCTACAAAAATAAGGGTTAAAATATTAGGGGCTATGAAAAATGTTAGACTATTTTAACATTTTGATATTTAAAAAAATACAAATTCAAAAAATTTGAATACTTTTTGAAACAATGAGTGTCTTACGTTTAATGGATCACCCTGTATATTATAATTCATAAATAATAGTTATAGCTGCTTACACATATTGTAAAACTTGGTCCCAGAAGTAAATAGAAGTAAAGAACGGAAGAATACAAGAGAATTTATTTTATTTTATAGAACAACGTGAAAATGAAAAAATTGAGTTAGTTAGTACAGGTTAATAAGAAAAAAAGAAAGAAGAAAATGTGAAAGAGGAAAGGAGAAAATCAAATACAATTGGCTTAMAATCATTGAAAAACCAATTAGATAATAGTGAGATGTTTCAGAGTAATTGCGATGGATTGGGACACTAATGTAATGTTTATTGATGCTTACGAATTTCCGAATTTTGTTGAAGTGTGGAAGATAAAACTAATAGTTAAGTAATGATCTTATGAAATACTGTATCATCAATTATCATATATTATATATATATGATATAATTGATATTTATATCATAGTACGCTATAATATGGGATATGTAGGTGCTGTATAATACAGTATAATATGGTATTATAGTGGTGAGTAAGGATAGCTTAATAATTTTAATTATGATTAATAGCATTTTGAATCTTTGTAAAGTTACTTACGTCAATAGTATATATCTCCACGATTTTGCATTGACTTCAAAAAGAATCTGAGTTGTGTTTAATCTTGAATTATTTTTAAACGGATAACGTATAAAATAAAGCTGTAGTTACATGTTTGTTGTATCGACTTTTTATTTCTTGACATCAAACTCTTTGGTTTTATTTCTGTTTCTTAATTTTTAGCTGACTTTTACTTTATATTTCAAAGGTTAAGACTTTCGAGGCATTTATRGGAAAAGTTTAACTTGCTATTGAGTAATTATCAGTGTACTATCCCCTGTTCAGTAAATTTAATCAGTTTCTAATTAAACTCAGAAAAAGGAAACGTATTTCATATACGATATAAAATKTTCTCGTTTTAAAATTCATTATATAATAATTGCATCTTGCAAATACTGAACACCTTTATTTTTATATATATATATATATATGAAAATATAAATACTAAACTAAACCTGGTACCTTATTGAGTAAGTTGTAAGTGTCGAGTTGGAATACTCAATAATAAAAATTATCTTTTATTCCAGTTGAAAGATTTGCATCATGACCATTTAGTACGATTTTATGGAGCATGCATAGAACCAAATTATTGTTGTCTACTGACCGAGTATTGTCCCAAAGGAAGTTTACAGGACATTCTCGAAAACGACCAGTTTAAACTGGATTGGATGTTCCGGTACAGTTTGATGCAYGACATTGTCAAAGTAATTATACATTTACATCTATGTTATTGTTATTTACAGGGGYGTCATTTGGAAGTCGTGTGGTTACAACAGTGGAAACCCTGTGGGGGGGGGGGAGAACTACTGAGTTTAGCCCTCCACCCATTGACCATGTGAAATTTAAAAAAAACTTTTTAACATAAATCAATTAATCAATAAATTAGTCATTACCATTTTTTTCTGTCGTAGAAATAGATTTTTTTAAATAGTAATAATATAAAAATATATCATACATTAATTATACTTGTGATGTTCTGAAGAAAAAAAGAAGAARATTGTTTTTTATTAATTTCTCCTTCTTCTTACTGTTTCGTAAGGTAGCATAACTATTAATTTGCTACTTCTATAAAAATGGTAGGGTAGCCATTGCTATCCCGTAATGACGCCTATGGTTATTTATTTATTTATATTGTTTGCTCTCTTCAGTCACTGGATAGGACTACCATTTTTTATTTTCCCCTGAAACGAATAACTATTAAATATAATAACAACAGTGTATAATAAAATAAAATCACTGATTCGTAGGAGAACAACGAGAGCGATATTATTTTGTATGCTTTGGACTGTGCGTGTTGTTAGTGATTTAAAAACACGATACAATAATTAACACTAAATATAGCTAGTAATAGAGATCACTTTCACCCAGTGATAATGTATTATTGATTTCGAGTATCATCAGTGCTTGGTTTTAGACCGCAATTAATTTCATATGTAATGATTTGTTGACCGCATCATTATTTTGTAGTCTGTTTTTACAATATTCGTGTTTGTACAATATAATATGAAAAAAAAAACAATAAAAATAATATTAACGATAAGATCTTTTTGTATGCGTATCGTGTTTCATATAAAGTCAACTTGGTCGAAAACAACAGTTTTCAATTACGATTTATGTGTGTTAAACATAATCCGTAAAACAATGTTTCGTGTACTTTTTTTTGTTATATAAACATTTTTAGATATTTTTACAGACCATGTTTAATATCATATTTTTTCTTTATAGCACACCCAAGGGTTTTCATTATAACCTTAGATGGGTTGGTTTTTTATGTTTTTATACAATATTCTCTAGAAGATCCCTGGTACAGAAAATATCTAGAGTTTTATATAAGTACATTTATTTCTTGTGAATTCCTGTGGTTATGGTTTTAAAGATAGGGTTGAGTATATTGTATATGAAATGTATAAAGAGAATTACATGATGAATATCTCTTAAATTTATATTCGTCGAAAAAGTAAACGATAGTGGCAAAAAGCTTGACATTTTATTCACTTAATTGATTCAATGGTAAGAAGGCATGTAAATAATAATTGGGATTTTTCTAAAATATTTTGGTCTGTTCAGTTATTAGTTTAAATACAACTATATTATTGGTATTATATTTTAGATACTTATACAAGTTTTTATACAGGATAACAAATTAATATCGTTAATAATATGYTATTAATATACGTACTTTAAGAAATGTAAATACCTTATCCAACTAAACTTTTTGAATTTTATTTTGAAACGTGTATAAAAGATAACGATTTTTTTAAAATATTATTTTAAGAGGACGCCACACCCGTATTTGTTGTCACAGTCTTACAAACGCGTAACATAGCAAATTTACGCTCAGCAGTTCATATTTTACTCCGTTGGCTTAAAAATTAGATTGAATTGAACTATTATGATATTTAATGGTAAGAATATTATTTGTGTTTTTTGTAAATATTTTTACGATAATTCAGTTTTTAAGTGAGTTATGAGCATTTTTATATTACAATTTATTATACGCTCATAACTCATTTAAAAACTGAATTATCGTAAAAAACACACACAATTTTCTTACCATTCAGTTGCTTAATAGTTCTATTCACTCTAATTTTTAACGTAAACTGCTGAGCGTAAATTTGCTTGTTACGCGTTTGTCAGACTGAGACAACAAATACGGGTGTTGCGCACTCTTAATATTAATCGAAACAAGTTTATATTTAACAGATTTACATACAAATATCCCAGTGATACTATGTATATTGTTTATTTGTTCACTGATATAATGTTTGTTGAAATTTTTTCAGGGAATGTGCTATTTACATAATAGCGAGCTGCGTTCTCACGGGGGTCTCAAATCTAGCAATTGTGTGGTTGATAGTAGATTTGTTTTAAAAATTGCCGACTTTGGTCTCAGAAGTCTCCGAAATAACCATTCAACTGAATCGAAYAGCGACAGTGATTCTTACGCTTACTGGAAAGGTTTGTGCAATTTTTATTTTTATTTTTCCGGATAGGTTTAACGATCAAAAATAAATACCTATGGTATGAAATACGAACTTTTTGCGTTTACGACGATATTAACACATAACAAATAAATGTGTTAGAAAAGCCAACAAAAGAATTCAAATTTAAATGATATTCATATATTATAATATATTAATATGTATATGTTAATATAATTCTGATTTTTTCATCAGAAAAAGTCGATGACATTTATTCGGTCAATGGTCACACTTGCACTGGAAATATATAACTGTATTGATAAAGTACAGAATTATTTTTATACATTTTTATTTATACGAGGAAATAGATTACTTATCAGTGATAAGTTATCACTATGTATCTCGTTATAGTTATTAATTATTTGTGTACGATCTATGATTTCAAAATAATGTGTTGAAATCGTGCTATATTTTTTCTCTTTACTGAAAATTAACTATAATAGTAATAATAAATTAGTAATTACTCGCACATTTATATGGTAAGTAATTATTACATACACAATTATATATTCCAATTAACGTAGTAGTTACTAATTACTAATTAGTAACTACTACGTTAAAATTAATGAATTAGTAATTACATATTATTATATTACTATCATATTTCGTTTGAAAAAGTACTTGTTGTGAGTTATTCTTAGCAGGATATTATAGTTTATGTGTATGTATATGTTTGTGTGTATTTTATTATGAAACACATATGCAATCATTTGTTTTTAAAACCGTAATTTAAAATTTTTTTAAGACAGGTATTGATAAATTATTTTATTTTGAATTGTACATTAAAAAAATTGTATTACTGTTATAAAAACTCTTAATTCGTTGAATAATAAATATAAAGTAATTTTCAGTAAACATTTTAGGTTCTACAGAAATCAATTAGTATTTTAAAATGAAATTCTAGCTAAAAATAGAATCATTATTATTTTTATAAAATTTCTCGTGACATACGATTAATACATCAAAAATCAATTTTTTTTCTTTTATTATTTATTTATTAATTGAAACAATAAGTATTTTATTATATRAAAAATTCTAAGCTTAATGCAATTTAAAATGATAGTGGTTATTAATATTATCAACTCCCTTGGCTGGTATGTTAATTTTGAACTGCGATAAATGTATTKAGTTTTTTTGACGGATTTCCGTTTCGGGTAAATATATATTCATAAAACCTATAAAAAAGATRTATGCTCTTTTAGAGCTATAAAAATTCAAAATGTTCGCTTGTGAAATGGCTGGTTCTGGGATCACAAGTCGTAGAACGTAACAAACGTAATACGAACAATACGTATAGTTCTAGAAAACCGTTGTAGAATAATTGTTCCATTAAAATTTTCCTTCATATAAGGAATATAAAAAATATATATTTAAATATAAAATTAATGCTATTTGTGCTAATTGCTACATTTTTTCTTTTCATTTTAATTTGTATTATGTTTAAATATGATGATTATCACCTCTATGTTCTGTTTTAAATATGCACCTATATAATTTGAAATAGTAATATTTTTATAATTGTTCTTCTAAAATGATTATAATATTAAGGTATAACTTCGTGATTAATTCAACAACTATGAATTTAAAAATTGATTTGATTGCCATATTTTAAATTCAATTTTACGTATTATTATTTTTATATTTTAATAATTTTAATAATCAAACAAACTTAATCACATATAAATATGTTGTGCATAGATATAATTTATAATTAATTTTTATTTATATCCACTGTTTTCATGATTTAAATGGTMGTTATATTTATCTAATACGATCGTTAATAAATTTAGTACTTGCAAAAACTAAATTTCTTGGTCACGTATCAAACACTAAGGTTACATATAAATTTTATTTGTGTTACAGAAAATATAATTATAATTTTAAAATGTATTTTGATTAGGTTAGGTTAAGTTATTATRGATCTTAATTTTTTTCAGCACATAATCTTAGTGATTTTACTTTATCGTTTTAAATAAAATAATATGAACACCAAAATTATTTTTGTAAACCATCGTAATATTTATTTTTTTAATCATTTTTTCAAAAAAATTCAGATATTCTTACATTTCTTCGTCTTAATATTTTTATCTTTCTACCATTCATGACTTGTTTTAAATACACACATTGGTTGTCTCTAAAATGTCCAACTCTTTTCAATGYCTAGTCTATACACAACGTAGTTTTATACGTTGGAARTAATAAACATACAGATAATATTTGGTATGTAAGATATTATAAAATGTAAGTAAACGTAAATCAAAAACATAAAAAAATTGAAAAAATACATGTGTGATTATGTCATTCACTTTACTTTATTTAATACAAAAAATTATTATTATCTTGTGAATACATTCATGTGCAATGTTCACATATTATGAGTTGTTAAATTGTTAACCTATACAATATTTATTGTTTTAATTAAAAATAAGTTATATTTTTAATAAACTATTAACTGTATGATTTTAATAATTGTCTTATAAATAACACACTCCGTAATCGTTGTTTTCGTTTTTTATATTATAATTTTGCTTAAATAAATTATTTYCACACTGGAATTTTCATTTTGGAAAACATTATTTCAAACATCATAATRTGTACTATAGTTATSTTATAAAATATGAAATATTTGTCTATCGTAAACGAAATCCGTTAGTTTTAGATGTCGTAAAACTATAATTTAATCWAGACCACGTACATTGTTTTCCCTGTAGATTTTGTTCGGTCATTCTATATTKTTTCATGTTAATTTGTTGTTGTCATTGTTGTTGTTATAAATATWAAGTCATAATAACTAAATTGCAAACATGTATTAAATGGTTTTTAGGCATTCTTGTATCTYGTGTAGATCAGCTATAATATTTATAACATGTGTGTAGAGTTGTGTTCGGACTTCGGACGTTTAGATATTTTTAATCTTTATTAATTATACTGTGCATTGCGATACGTAAATAATAACAATAATAATTATAGAAGAAAAAATATTCATACCAAGAAGGAGAATTTAAAATTGAGTTCAAAGAAGTTTAACTATACATAAAATGTATAATTTTCACAGATTATACACCMTAATGTTTTATTATATTTATACAGTTTTGTCAAGTTTACTTAGTTTACAGCTATCATTGATTCTATTGATACAAAAGAAAACTAAATATTATTGATTGTTAGCTGAATGCAATATTTT